GGTCACCTGGCGACGGTCAACATCATACTGGCCGGTCGAGGGCTCTACCTCCCCCAGTGGCCGGACTCTACCTCCCCAGTGGCCGGACTCTACCTCCCCCAGTGGCCGGACTCTACCTCCCCCAGTGGCCGGACTCTACCTCCCCCATGGCCGGACTCTACCTACCCAGAGGACGAACTCTACCTCCCCCAGTGGCGGGACTCTACATCCCCCAGTGGCCGGACTCTACCTCCCCCAGTGGCCGGACTCTACCTACCCAGAGTACGAACTCTACCCCCCCCCCCTCCCCCCAGTGGCCGGACGCTACCTCCCCCAGTGGCCAGTCCGGCCCCGGTCCGGGCCCTATACCTTCCCCCAATGGCCTTCGATAGGGCCCGCGGCACCCACCACTGCCGGCACTAATCACCACCGTGACCTACGTGGGTGTGTTGCGCCCTTCTCAAAGCCGTCGCGTCGGCGAACGGGTAACAATGCCGGAACGCTGGCCTGGTCCCCCCCCCCTCGAATGGCCGCGGTGCAGCGGTCGGCGGCAATCGCACCACACCAGCGACAAGAATGGAACAGAATACGGCAAGAATGGGCTTTGTTCGGGCGCGTTTGCTGACCTCTGGTGCCTAGTTCGACGCTACTTCTCTCTCCAGAGGTCCGAGCACGTGAACAGGGAAATGCCGGTAGCCGCTGAACTATACGGCGCCAAGGCCGGCTGCGTGGTCATTTCAGCCAGCGCGGAATGGGTGGACGGGGACGCGATTAGCAGGTGCGCGGCGCGCGCGGCCACCCGTCAGCCCAGACGGGTCGGCGCCGCCGGCCGGGCTGTCATCGGCGAGAGCCACCGGCATCGCCGTCATCGGCGAGAGCCACCGGCATTGCCGTCATCGGCGCTGACAAGATTAGGCGGCTATCGAGCAGATAGAACAGCCGATAGCACGACCAATGGGTGTGACAATACGCCGGCTTATCCGACCTCACAGAGTTCACATAGTCTGCACGATCGCTGTAATGTGTTGATAAAGAAATACTCACATAGGCCGCACGAACCCTGTCATTCAAGTGATTTTGACCATTTTTCCATGGTCGAGTCCCAGTTGCGTACCAGTCGCCTCCGATTGCAATAGCAGTCGGGCCGGGCCAGGCCTGCGCCGTAGTTGGTCAGCGCTCCCTCAGTGGTCCGGCTGTGACCAATTGCGCCACATCGGATCAATAGCACCGGCCGAAAACCACCTTAGCAAGCAATAGAAATGGAAATAAGAAAAATATAAAAATGACGCATTCGCGTTCACTCAGTGTACTTGCATAAAGCATTCATGTACGGCCCTCTAGCAAAACAGTGGTTGGTTAGCCTATGTGTTTTTGGTGTAATAACTTTAAATGACAGACACTCCTGTAAAATGACTCAATAGAAATGAGAAGAGAATTCGTGCACACATTTCGGTAGTGGTTTTGATCAGCCAGTAGACGTACCTATTCATCAATGCAGATCGATTATCGTGATGTTAGCAACCAACCACTTAATACCTGGAGGGCCGTACCTTTTCTCGCTTGCCCTAAGCGGGGTCCAGGCCCGAGTAGATGCTTGTCCTGTTTATGAGACTCCCAGCATTTCATCTACATAAAGCCTGAACTACAGCTGTGTTGGAAATTCTAAAAACGAGCTCTCGCATCACTGTCTTCTCTCAGCATTGCGCCGGTCAGTGGTCATTGATCGGCCCTTCCTGCACCTCTGTACAGTACTGCAGTCCGTCCGACCGACCGGTCCCGGTCCCGGTCAGTGGTCATTGATCGGCCCTTCCTGCACCTCTGTACAGTAGGTACTGCAGTCCGTCCGACCGGTCCCGGTCCGTCCGATCGTCGTCCACCCACAGAGCATCCGGGCCCCCGCGCCGCGCCGGTGCCGTGCGGCCCGACCAGCGGGGGCGCCGCCTCCCCCATTGGATTTACCGAGTTAGCCGAGTGGCGCGGCACGGTCAGGGGGCCGTGATTGGAGCGGGGTCCGGCCGAGGGGCGCGCAGACTGGGCTGACTGGCCGGCCGAGGGGCGCGCAGACTGGGCTGACTGGCCGGCCGAGGGGCGCGCAGACTGGGCTGACTGGCCGGCCGAGGGGCGCGCAGACTGAGCTGACTGGCCGGCCGAGGGGCGCGCAGACTGGGCTGACTGGCCGGCCGAGGGGCGCGCAGACTGGGCTGACTGGCCGGCCGAGGGGCGCGCAGACTGGGCTGACTGGCCGGCCGAGGGGCGCGCAGACTGGGCTGACTGGCCGGCCGAGGGGCGCGCAGACTGGGCTGACTGGCCGGCCGAGGGGCGCGCAGACTGAGCTGACTGGCCGGCCGAGGGGCGCGCAGACTGGGCTGACTGGCCGGCCGAGGGGCGCGCAGACTGGGCTGACTGGCCGGCCGAGGGGCGCGCAGACTGAGCTGACTGGCCGGCCGAGGGGCGCGCAGACTGAGCTGACTGGCCGGCCGAGGGGCGCGCAGACTGGGCTGACTGGCCGGCCGAGGGGCGCGCAGACTGGACTGACTGGCCGGCCGAGGGGCGCGCAGACTGGGCTGACTGGCCGGCCGAGGGGCGCGCAGACTGGGCTGACTGGCCGGCCGAGGGGCGCGCAGACTGGGCTGACTGGCCGGCCGAGGGGCGCGCAGACTGGGCTGACTGGCCGGCCGAGGGGCGCGCAGACTGGGCTGACTGGCCGGCCGAGGGGCGCGCAGACTGGGCTGACTGGCCGGCCGAGGGGCGCGCAGACTGGGCTGACTGGCCGGCCGAGGGGCGCGCAGACTGAGCTGACTGGCCGGCCGAGGGGCGCGCAGACTGGGCTGACTGGCCGGCCGAGGGGCGCGCAGACTGGGCTGACTGGCCGGCCGAGGGGCGCGCAGACTGAGCTGACTGGCCGGCCGAGGGGCGCGCAGACTGAGCTGACTGGCCGGCCGAGGGGCGCGCAGACTGGGCTGACTGGCCGGCCGAGGGGCGCGCAGACTGGACTGACTGGCCGGCCGAGGGGCGCGCAGACTGGGCTGACTGGCCGGCCGAGGGGCGCGCAGACTGGACTGACTGGCCGGCCGAGGGGCGCGCAGACTGGGCTGACTGGCCGGCCGAGGGGCGCGCAGACTGGGCTGACTGGCCGGCCGAGGGGCGCGCAGACTGGGCTGACTGGCCGGCCGAGGGGCACGTCGCCCCGCCGGCCGGACGTGCAGTCGAGGCGCGCGCCCAAAGACCAGCTGTGACACGGCGCCGTGACGTGTGGACACGGCGCTGTGACGGAACTGGCCTCGGGAAGCGGTCACGTAGGGCCATCCGATGAACTACACCTGGACTGGCAGCTGCAGCCAGCTGCGCCGGCGGCCGGTCCAGTCTCGCCGTCTTGAGGCGCGCGCAGGAGTCGCGTAGCAGGAATCTGTCCGCCACCGGCAGGAGCTCGGGCTCGAGCGCAGAGGCACTGATAAGGACCTCCGGCCTCCGCAGTTGCACCAGGTGACGGAATGCGTGACTCAGGGGCGTCGGCGACTCTGTGCGGTCCTCGTCACCCCTCCGTCACACACGGGCGCCTGTCATCCCGCCCGTGACGGGCAGCCGAAGGTGGCGGAGCGCTCACAGCAATGGTTCAAGGTACAGCGCCAGAGCACCACCAGTGCACTACTGCGCAATGGATGTCGCTGAGACCATTGCAATCATTGCGCTGTTTTTTATTGCAAAGACCGGCTGGTTAAAACACGTTCGTTTTCGGACGTATACACGAGCAAAATGAGAGACAAAGGCTGTGCAATGGTCATTCAAGTCGTGTCCAATGAAACACACAGATCGGTCCTACTTCCATCCATATTCTGAATCGCTAGCGCACGACCACAGGCTGCACTCCGAACTGGGAGCTCTCCCGTCACGGGTGGATTTATGTAGTCAGGTGCGAGTCGGCCGGTTCAGCAATCAGCATACGACCGACTCCCCACAAATGGGACTGTGTAAGAGCGGACCGACGGCGTCAGTCCCCGCTGTCACCGGCGGCCGGTAACCGTCACTGACGGCACCGCTGTCACCAGCGGCCGGTAGCCGTCACTGGCGGCCCCGCTGTCACCGGCGCCGCTGACACGGCGGTCACCTTGACCGGCCGTCAGCCAGCCGACGCCGTCTGCGCCGAGACCGGCGGGACCCGCGGTGGACCGTCGGGACCCGCGGTGGACCAGTGGCGGACCAGCCGCGGTCACGGCGCCCGCTGGAGCCCGTCCCGCCGCGCTGGGCGGAGCAGTGAGAACCGCCACCGTCGGCGCCCGCCCAGTGACCCGCTGAGCCGCACCGGACCCCGGCCGGCGCGGCGCGGCAGCGCACTGCGGGCCCGGCGACACTGCCTGCCAAGTGGCAGCCGCGGTCGCCGCGCCGGCCCGGAGGTCGGCTAACTGTGCCGATGGGAAATGTTGAGCCGGCGCCGCCGCCGTCACAGGCTGAACACCTCCTGGTCACCTGAAGTCAGCACCAGTCACCACAGGTCACCGCCAGTGACGACAGGTCACCAGTGCGGAGGCCAGCCGGCCGGCAATGTCCGCCCGGTGAATAGCGGCCGGACCGGTGGACACATGAGCACCGGTCAGCGGCCTGCGACTGCAGCACAGTTCGGTGCGGCGGGCGCGGCCACGCAGCTCCGTCAGGCAGGCAGGCCAGTGTAGTCGGACACGGCGGAGCCGCGCGGCGCACACCCCGCTCGAGGCCCGCTCGGCCGGTCCGCGGCGGTGACGCCACGCGACGGGCTGGTATGCCAGACGCATAGGCGGCGGAGCGAGGCGGCGGAGCGCGAGCCCCCCCCCCCTTTGATTTTGGCATTTTAACATTAGCCCTATGGGCGTTGCATGGAAAGAATGGGACCAAAAGTCGGCAGTGCCCCCCACCCTTAATTGAAGGTGTTCCGCCGCTACTGGCCAGACGTGAAGATTAAATAACGCGCCTTACGCGGTTCGCGGGGCTCTATAGCGCGTGTTATGAGATACGCGTGGCGAGGAACGCGTGACGCTGTCGGTCCATACCTGCGCCGCAGCGGCGAGCCGTCACGCTGCGTTACTGTAGACGGCGGCTGTCGGCACCTGAAACACGAGGGAGTGCCGGTCAGCGGCGGCTACACGGCACTGCACATGGACAGTGTCAGCGGCGGCTACACGGCGCTGCACATGGACAGTGTCAGCGGCGGCTACACGGCGCTGCACATGGACAGTGTCAGCGGCGGCTACACGGCGCTGCACATGGACAGTGTCAGCGGCGGCTACACGGCGCTGCACATGGACAGTGTCAGCGGCGGCTACACGGCGCTGCACATGGACAGTGTCAGCGGCGGCTACACGGCGCTGCACATGGACAGTGTCAGCGGCGGCTACACGGCGCTGCACATGGACAGTGTCAGCGGCGGCTACACGGCGCTGCACATGGACAGTGTCTGCGGCGGCTACACGGCGCTGCACAGTGCACATGGACAGTGTCAGCGCCCAGACGGACGGCGCGGCCGCGGCGATGCGACGTGGGGTTACTGGTGACGGCGGCACCAGCCAGAGGCTGACAGACCGGCCACCCGCCCAGCCATGGGGCTCTGCCCGGCGGTGGCCCGGCGCGCCGCCATCGTGAAGCAGGTGCAGCTCGTGAAACGGAACGCCTCCCCCTGTCCGCCCGGCGCCGCCCGGCAGAACTTCTGGAGCGCCGCAGAGGCAGGGCACCGAACGACAGTCGCGGTTGGGCGCGCAGCCACCCCCACACGCGTCTGTTCACAACCGTGCAGTGCCTGCCTCTGAACCGGCGCGTTCCGTAATTCCGCTCTCCGCTTGAAAGAGGGCGCTATCAAAACAAACCATAAGTCCAGTCAGCGCAGTGTGCACCATACCCGGTCAGCACGGGTGGCAACCACAGGAGCAGCCCCGGTCACGGCACATGCGGCACAGACTGAAGCTGGGCGGCTCTCGGGCGGGTCACTGGGCGGCTCTCGGGCGGGTCACGTCCCCAGCGGGATATGATATGGGTTAGCGATGGCGTCGGGACTCGGCCCGCCGCTGCTCAGCTCAGCGCCACGGTCGGTAGGCGAGGGCCCGCCGCCCGACCGTCTCCGGTGTCGGCCGGCGCCACCGGCCCGGCCCGTGCAGCGGTGGTGCCCTGGTACCGGTCCGGCTCCGGTTACCCCCTACCGACCGGTACACCAGCCCGCACCGACCACCGTGAGCTCCCTACAGGTGGCCCGTTCGGAGCGGCCGGCGGCGCTGGACGCCCCCAATCCCTGCCCGCTGGATACACATACCTCCCCACGGATCCCCGCCCGCTGGATACCTCACCACCTCCCTGTGTCACTGGGGCCTGCATTCATCCGAGGAGCCGTGGGACCGCGGGGCTCGGGGCTCCTCCGGGCCGCCGAGCCCCCGCCGACCACTGGACTGATCCCCCAGTCCCGCACGTGCTGCTCCCTGACCCGCGGACGACCGACAGGCCGCTGCAGCACGCCCACAGCACCGCTCGCATTTCGGCCACCTGACGCCGAGTGTCGCCCGCCACCCCGGCTCGCGGCCGACCCGGCCTGGGGCGGTCAGACTCCCCCCTCCCTCCCCCTTTGCTCTGTGGCAGTCAGACTCCCTCGGGGGAGGGTGGGGGTGGAGGGGGGCGGTCTGTTGGAAATGGAGCCGCGTCGCCGGGACACAGCCTCCGCGGGAGCGGTGTTTGTGGCGGCCGATTGGTCAGGGGCCGACTCTGACCGGCGCCCGTCACAGCCCGCCCGTCACAGTGCCGGCAGCGGCGGCGGCCCGGACGTCAGTCACTTCAGTCACCTGCCGCCAGTCGGCCGCGGACCCATCACCGGCGCCGCCTGCACGTCCGGACAGCTGATCGCACAAATCCAATACATTCTGCTCGGATCGGCCCGAACACGCATAGTGAGGCAGCTTTGGCCTCAGTGTCCTGATTTACGCGAATTACATACCTACCTAGTTATAAACTAAAGTCTTTTATTAAAATCGGGAAACGGATCGCCCCAGCCATGTCATAAACGGCCTGTGCAGCTATAGGCAGCTTATAGGTGTCGTTAGGAGTGGAAAACAAAACCAGGGAAAGCATAAAATGTTCACCCTAAAAGGCAATGAGGAAGTTTTCTGTACAGGCCAGTGATGGCCCTGCAGTACACGGAAGGCCGGTGCGGTATCATGGGCGCGTCACTGGCAGGAAGGTGAACGACGCTGGCTGGTCGACCCCCGCGCAGCGCTATTGAGGCGCCTGCACTGAGCGCACGGTGCACGGTGCACACGCACAGTCCACAGAGCAGGCACAACACACGGCAGTCGAGCGCACAGCTACAATCTGCCTCTATAGGTTCATAGAAAAACGACAAACCGTTTTTTGTTAAAGGTAGTGTGCCACCTTTGAAAGATTTCCCATTTTATTTTTCCTAGGATAAGAAGCTTCTGTTTTTACCTAATATCGCAAAAAAAAATCAAAAATGGGCCTGGAATAGTGCCTTTTTCGCCTAAAAGTTTATCGGTTTTTCGATGTGTATAACAACTGTAGTGGGCTGAGCTGCAAACAGGCGTCGGCAACAATCGCGAATGCGGCGCACATGTGACAATAAGCAAAGGTCATTATAGAGTTACGACGTACGGGAATGAGTTATCAGCTGTCTAATCGTAGACAACACAATGTCGAGCCTTAAACTGTAAGCCTGTATTGGTAGGGGAAGTTGGGGTAATGCCGGAGTTGGGGCAAAGCCGAAATTCGAGATATTTCGAAAACCGTACGACATGGATGCCACCTGTCGGTAATGTTCTGAAGCTTAAAGGGACCCTCCCACCTTCAAAAAAGTTTATGAATTGGCATGAAAGTGATGTCGCTCGGTTCAGAAAGAGCGAAAACGAATATCTACCAAATTTCACCGAAAAATATTCACCGGTTTTCAAGATATTAGACTTTTACTTTTGTTTACTTTTTTTTCGGGATCTCCGCTGTTTCTAGCGACTTTATTTTAGAAGTGCGGCGTTTGCGGCAGATGTTGCGCGCAAATAGCATTTACCACCGCGTGCTACAAAACGTTTTAGTCAAACATTTAAAAATCGTTAGATATTTGCGCTGACGTCACACATTCAGAGGGGTATTCCTAAGCATTAGCCCCTCTGAATCAAAATGCTGCAATTTTGAAATTCAATTTTTCCGATTTAAGGCATTTCTCGATGTTGTGAGTGCCGAAACCGGTAATTGTGAGCCAGGGACCCCATTTTGGCTATCTCAACTCAAATCTAATGTTAAGGTGGGAGGGTCCCTTTAAGTGACTACAATTATCGCATGTTTGTTACGCGTCGTCATTCGGAATACTTTGGCTCTGAGGGCGCAGGGAGTGTTTTCGAGGTACGTTTCCCTTGTACTACATGTGCCTTTGAAGCTGCATTTCTTACTCATTATGCAACCGTTTGTCTGGCCAATTCGGTCAAGTATAATCTTCAGCATGTCTTTGCATAAGTGTGCTGCCTATTTGAAATTTGGTATACAGCACGTTGAAAAGTGGGCCTGCAAATGAAATCATGGCTGGCTGGGGTAATGCCGAAAACGTGCAATTTTTTTTCGGCTTTACCCCAATGACGAATTAGCACACACTGATGCATTTATTCGCTTTCAGATGGTGCGTAAGTACCAACGCAAGACGCCAATGACTAGGTGGGATCAAAGCCGCCTAATCGAAGCCGTACAAGCCGTCCGTGATGGTGCTACGATCCGCCATGCAGCGTTGAACTTCAACATTCCGTACGGCACTCTGTACGGGAGGCTCTACCCGGCGAGCGGAAAAAATGTGACGCCAGCAGCTGGGATGATGCCGGGACCCTCGCGAGGCAGGTCCCCGGTGTTCTCTGCCGAACAGGAAAGGCGCATTTCCGGATACGTTCAGATCATGGGTGACATGTTTTATGGAATGACGCCGGCGATGGTTAGGAAGCTGGCTTTTGACTACGCCGAGGCTGAAGGGGTGAGTCACCCATTTCGTCATGGTATGGCTGGATGGGACTGGTATTACGCTTTTATGAAGCGCCATCCGGGTCTCTCTCTGCGCCAGCCCGAGGCCATGTCCCTGAATAGGAGCATAGGCTTCCGCCAGACCGAAGTGAACAAGTTCTTTGAAAATCTCGGCCGGTTGCGCGAAGAGCATGGATTTGCCGACACCCACATCTGGAATTGTGACGAAACAGGAGTCACCACCGCCACAAAGCCACCGAAGGTACTCGCAAAGACAGGCTCGAAGCGGGTGAGCACGGTGACCAGTGAAGACAGGGGTGTCATCACCACCTTGATCATTGCGTGCAGCGCAGCTGGCAATTTTATGGCACCATTCTTCGTTTTCAAGAGAAAGACTCGCCAGCAATCGCTTCTCAACGGGGCACCCACGAGCTCAAAAATGGCTGTGTCAGCTAATGGCTGGTCAACGGAAGAGATCTTCCTTCAGTGGCTGCAAGAGTTCATTACGTTCACGGGGGCGACCACAAACAACAAGCAGCTTCTCATCGTAGACAACCACTACACACACTGCAACCTCAAGGTCTTGACTCTAGCGCGGGAGAACGGCGTGGTGATCCTGACCCTGCCACCGCACACCTCGCATAGGCTGCAGCCGCTGGACGTCGGCTACTTCAGCGCCTTCAAGGCCAACTACGGCAAGGAGCTGAACTCGTGGATGATGAGCCATCCTGGACGTAAAGTAACCCAGTACGAGGTGGGTTACTTGGTCGGCATCGCGTATGAAAACACAGCAAAGGTCTCAACCGCTGTAAACAGCTTCAAAGAAACAGGCATCTGTCCCTTCAGGCCACACAAGTTCGATGCGGCTGATTTCGCTCACGTGCCAGCTACGATGGAGCTGTATGAAAGTCAAGCTGGGAACGAGAGAGGAGATGCTGTACAGCAGCTGCAAGAACATGACAGCCAGACGACTGAAAAAGCAGCAGACAGCTACGTCCCAGGAGAGGAGCCGGATAAAAAAGAAAAGGAAGCCTTGGCAGACAAAAGTGAGGGTGACCCTGCAGCCGCCCTTTTCCAGTTGCCTAAGTCGTCTTCCCGCTTGAGGAAGGGACAGACCCGTAAGAGAGCTAGTTCTGTCGTGCTAACCAGCAGCCCGATGGTGAAAATATATGAAGAAAGAGAACAGAAGAAGAGTGAAAAGGAAACACCAAAGAAAAAAGCAAAGAGAGTGCCTAAGCGGCAAGCGGCAAAGAAAGTAGACGAGCAAACGAGCGACAGCGGTCAAACGGGAAAGGCCGGTATGCGAGGTAAGAACCAGTCAGGAGACGAAGATGTCTGTCTGTTCTGCGAGGAAGGGGTGGTGGGGAGAAACGAAGCGTGGATCAGGTGTGCTGGCTGTGGACGATGGGCTCACGAGATGTGCAGCAACGGCAGTGGGTCATCAGGGTTTGTCTGTGACCGCTATTGTAATATCTGGTAGTTACGCAAGACAACCGAACTCTTCACGTCAATTCGAAGTGTTTGCTGGTGTATGTGTATGGTGTATGCTCGTGTATCTCAGGGCTGGTGAGGAGGCCAGTAAGGTCAAATAGTCTGCGGAGTTCGCGTCGTGAGTTCACCCTAAGGCGGGTCAGTTGGATGTGTGTTGAAGCATTCTTACCAAGTTTCACAGTGTCAGCTGTTCGTGCCCAGAATAAACTTAAATACATTTGGCCCCATTGCCTGAAATGCATGTCTATTGAGCACGCTACGTGAACTTAACTGCTGTAGTGCTGTAGAATAGCAACGCGTTTTTAAGTCACACAAATTACACTGTCAACCGACACAACGGCCTGCTACCTATAAGGAATGATTTACCTGGCCTTTTCTTATTATATCACACAATAATAACTTCCAGTGTACACCAAGCGTTCTTAAGCTCTTAAAACGCGTGCCAGCTTTGATGAATTCTGGATAAAATTTGAAATAAAATGGCAAAACATCAATTTCGGCATTCCCCGTAGATGATTTCTCCCATTTTCGGCTTTACCCGCAGTCCGGGGCAAAGCCGAAAAAATCACTTCTTTGATATTTTGAGTTTGTGCGCTTAAAGGTATGCGAATTCTTCAAATGCGCCTGGTATGTTTGAAAGGCAAAAGACTGGCCTCTCGAATGATGCCAACAGGAATAGCTTACGTTGTCTACTTTGCGTGCTACGGGCTTCAGAAAAAAAGTATTCGGCGTTCCCCCAACTTCCCCTATTGTTTCTTTAATTTGGCTGTCGAACATTAATCTATGGTTTGAAATATTATTTTATGTAAAATAATTGATATGAAACAGCCGTCTCTAAAGTTATGACCCCATCTCACCACATGAAAGTGGCAGAAATGACAATGATCAGCTGACGCATTTTCTTGGCTGAAGTCAGAGCGCGCGGCCCGACGCACCACCACCGCACCACAAAGTATGAGCAGAAGCCGCGCCCAAAGCCAGGGCCCCGGTAACGTGAGGTAGCCGAGTCGGGGCAGCGTGCGCTGACCCAAGCCGGGGCCGCAGCTTTGGGCGCGGTCTACCGCATCCCCGCGGGCAGCCCCGGGCTATCACATGACACCGGGAGGACGCGCGGCCCCGGCTTGGGTCAGTGCACGCTGCCCCGACTCGGCTACCTCACGTTACCGGGGCCCTGGCTTTGGGCGCGATCTACCGCACCACCTAACAGGCGTGTTCGAAACCGCAGGAGATGATGATGAACGGGTTTATCGAAACTTGATTGGATGAGCATATCGGTAATAGCGATTTCAGTGTGTGCATTTATGCATAGTGGTGTGAAATGTGGTTGGGGTACGACCGACAACCCGTCGGGGCGAATTTCGCACTGGGGTACTCAAAATTTGAAGAATTTGAGACGTTTCCATGAGTTTTGAAGGTATGGATAAGTTCTAAAAATCCGGTTCTCCTTATCTGGGCCATTAACTCCATACGGTCCAGGAAAGCTGGCACACTACCTTTAACGGCATAAATCCAGTAAGGAATGCAGAGAAAGATTGAATTCTGTCTAAAAATTAATTTCGTCATTGACGGAGCGAGAATTTAGGTACGGGATTCGGGAAATTATGTTAAATATGCAGATCCCATAAAAATCAACTAAATGCACTAAATTCGGCTACTTTCCTTGCGCCCTGTTGTTCTGCACAGTGCATATTAGTTCAGCGTGCTGCCGAGGGGAGAGCCGGGAGGTATGGGCCCCCGGGAGGTAGGGGCCATCGCAGTTTTGAAGAAGTGATGCGTATTTTTACACTTTTGACCGCGTAAACTGATAGCAGCCATTTCGGTCAAAAGTTAAAAGTCAAATTTAGGTCAAAAGTTGACCTTAGGTCACGTGACCTAAGGTCAACTTTTGACCTTTCGACCTTTCGAGGTCAACATACATAAGTTTCGATGCGGATCGACGAGAGGATCACGATAGTGCTATTAGTTTGTTCCTAGCTGGGATATCTTGAAAGTTATTCGAGAAAAACTTCATATTTATGTAGTGCCGCAATTTTGACTTCCTTTTTGCTCCTGTGACGTCATCTTTGACCTGACCTGAAAATGACCTCAGTAAAAATTATAGACCTTATCCGTGTGTACCCTGCACCGTTTACCGCTTGTCGCTATCTTCCTTTATTCTCGAGATCTCGCTGTCGCTCCCGCTCGTAATAATGGACAGGTCATAAAAATGACCTGACCTGAGGTCGACGCAGGGCGATAGCCACTTTTTTATTTTCGCATATGAATGACAATTGATAAGGCTTTAATCGTCATCAGACAAAATTGCAACTTTCAGTGGGGAAAATATCAAGGTCACTCTTCGAAAAATAGGTCAAAAGGTCACGTTATCAAAATTTTCAAAAATTGAAAATCCGAGATAGCCAAAATGTTTGTTGGTTGATTGTGAGTTGAACCATATAAAGTTTTTATCGTAGAAAACCAAACGTTTCTGAGTTATAGACCGCCAAACATAGGGCTGCAGCGCGACCTCCAGGAATTGCCCGAGGCTATATCTCGGAAACCGTTGTTCGAAGAAAAAATCCTTGCCACAGCTGGCTTCCCCGCCCATCACAACCCATTTCACCAATTTTCAGCAAAAAATAAAATATGAGGGTGCAGGGCACTTGTCGATTTGTCGTGGAACAATCGATCAGAAGGTACCGTCAACTGATACCTTCTGAGGAGTGTAACATCATTCTGTAGTCGACAGCTATACGTGTATTTTCGTGGTACTCTCTGACGCGTTATCCCCGTCAGAGCCCTGACGTGTGAGGACGGCTGGCAGACATTCCACGGGCGGCGCCCACTCAGAGGCGGACCTCTTGAACTACCCAGAACGCCGAGACCAGGCGAGCACGGGAGCCCCGCCATACTTATCGACGTCGTAAATACCGCAACACTACGGGGTCATTCAGCGGGCCATTTACGGAACAACAGGCGGCCGGCGCACGAGTACCTGTCCCGGATGTGGCTGACGTGGCGCCGCTCCGCCTTGAACGAGCCGACCGTCGAGAACTCGGGCCCTCAGCTCAGCAGTCCGATAGGAGCTCATGTTAACTCTGCAGTGTTACCGCGGCAGTTATCGGGCACCGCCTGAGTTGGTACCGATACACAACACTTCATTGTCCAGTGTTCGCACGACAAAGCAGGCACTCAACTGCAATCGAGCACAGGCTGGCTCGGTTGAGAACACAGCTCGGTTGAATCCATGGCTCCTTTATCGGAGCGTTGTTATCAAAGCACAGCGATACGTATGACCGGCAGTATGCACTGTGCCACTGCAAGAAGGCACACAGTGCAGTGGCGCCGCACAGCGCGGGCGTTTAAACTGCACGTCTGCCATCCAAATCTACCGTGACTACGTCTCAGACAGTCAGGAGCGGCCGCCAGCCGGCCGGTGGTTCCGTGCCCGGCCGCACCTGCCGTGCTGCACGGCGGCGGCTGCGGGCTCCCTCCTGTTAGAGTGGGCCGCCACGTCTGTTCTCGGCGCGGCCCCGACGTCCGACACCTGTAGGCTGTCGGCGCCCGGTACCTGCACCGACCGCGGCCGAACCGTGGCGAGCGCACCTGTTCAGACACCCCCGAACCCCCCCCCCCCCCAGCAGACACAGCCCGCCTACACCGGTCCGTCACCCCGTCCCTCAGTCGCTAATGCTACCCGACGAGCTGTTGGTTATTGATCAAAAACCACTGTCTGCGGTCACACCGCGTCTAATTTAGTAACCGCTGATCACAGGATTATTTAAGCCTGCATCCAAACGGACCTACTATCTGCTTCCAAACACCAAGGTAGTCACCACGACACTCGTATCGTTCCCAGGACGACCTTCCGAACGCCTTGCCTGACGACTATGACCTTTGCCGTGTGGCGGGCGGCGGGCGGCGGCGGACACTGTCCGCGGCTGGCCGCCCGTCACTGCGCGAGAGGCCGCCGGCCGCCAATCCCACGGGCCGGCCGGGCAGCAGGGCCGGGCCGTGTCGGGCCGCAGCGGGCGCCGCGCCCGTCAGCCGGCCGTGCCCGGCGACGGCGCGCCTCCGAGTCGAGTGCCGGGTGCCCGCCCGACGCCGAGCCTTCACCTGGAGCCCCCCCCCCCCCCCAGCCCCGCACAGCACCGCGTGCCCAAACAATGGCGAGACGGCCGCATGAAAGAAATATGAGCCGGCGAGGGGAGTGGCGCTCGATCTCGCGGCGACGGCGTCTCAGCGGCGCACGTCAACACTGGAGCCAATGATGCAAATGCCGGCGGCAGCACGGGGCCGTCGCCGGGACCGGCGAGCAGCGCCGCGTCGCTGCCGTCGGGCGGCGCTCGTCGGGCGGGGAGAGGACGGACAGAGCGGACGGACGGGTGGGGAGTGTCGGGCGGGGAGTGGACGGGAGGCGGGGAGTGGGGCGAGCGGGGAGTGGACGGACGGGCGGGGAGTGGGGCGGGCGGGGAGTGGACGGGAGGCGGGGAGTGGACGGGAGGCGGGGAGTGGACGGGAGGCGGGGAGTGGACCACGCAGCCCGGCAGCGGCGCTAGCCAGTGCTGCGGAAATGACCGTCAGCCCTACACGTCCTCTGCCGATCCCGAGACGCTGGGCAGCGGGCAGTGGGCAGTGGGCAGTGGGCAGTGGGCAGTGGACAGTGGACAGCGGGCAGTGGGCAGTGGGCAGTGGGCAGCGGGCAGCGGGCAGCGGGCAGCGGGCAGCGGGCAGCGGGCAGCGGACGGTGGACAGTGGACAGCGGGCAGTGGGCAGTGGTCAGTGGGCAGCGGGCAGTGGGCAATGGGCAGTGGGCAGCGGGCAGTGCGGGCCGGAGGCCGGCGGCGGCCCGCCAGCACTCGCCGGCCTGGCACCGGCCGCGAAACGGGCACGGCGCCGGCCCGACTGGCACTGTGCAGTGTGCACTGTGCAGTGAGCACTGCAGGCCAGCCGTGTGGCGGACCGGCTCACGGCAGCAGCACACAACAGATAAAACGGCCCCACCGGAGCCACAGGGTTCACCGGACGGCTCCAAACGAGTAGCCGTGTTTACTTCACGCACCATGTGACACCAGCCAAACGGCGCGCCGGAGCCGGTCAGACTACACCCAGTGCATGTCTGCACTCCCGGCGCACAGAGTCGGGGGCCGACCGGAGCGGCCGCGCCCGTTGTCGGCGGCTCTCCTCACCTCGCCACCTCAGCTCCGATCACCGCCGACGGCCTCGGCTCCGCTCCGACACTGCACGGCGCAGCTGTTTGGCCGGCCCAATAAACAGAGCGGCCGCATAGCCGCCCCAGACGGAACCGACTGAGGGCACGGCCGCCCGGAACCGATCCGCGCCCCCCCCCCCCCAAAGTTTATGTCCCAGGAGGGCTTCGGGTTCATGTCTAATTGACAGCCTTAACTAACAAGACAAAGTAACACAGCCGGCCGGCCGGCCCGTCAGAGGAGTATTTGAGTCCCAGTCAGAGGAGGCCGAGCCAGGGCCCGTGTCGGCCGCGCGCCCCCACCCGCCGGCCGCGCGCCGCGGCGCCGTGTGCACTGTGCGTGTTTGAGCGGCCGATACAGCGCCGCACCGCTGTGCGTGCGCCCGGTGAAAGCGGCGCCGCTGCCGCCGCCTGTGTGGGCACAGAGACCGCCCCGGTCAGAGTCCCTCCCTCCTCCCCCCCCCCTCTGCCCGTCAGCGATGGCAGCCCGGGCCCCGGCGGCGGCGCGGCACTCAGAGTCGACCGGCGGTTCATTAGGCCGGCCACTGTAATGCCAGTCGGGCCGATGGTATCACCATCACCGTAGCCGAGCACTGCCACTGGTGAAGGGCGGCGGCAGCCAGGCGCGGTGCCCCCCCCCCCCCCCGCGGGCTCCGTGCAGGGCCGGACTTCCGTTGGATGGCAGCTGGGCGTTACTGTAAGGCGGCGGAAGGCAATCGACGTCAATGTTAATATACACACGTCCGTCCGCGTCATTTGTGCCCACCGCTGTGTCAAGAGGCCGGCAGACGTCACGCGAGCCCAGTGCAGGGACTTGGCCGCCATTACCGTTAGTTTTCCCCGCTCCACCGATGCGGCCGAAGGAAAAAGGTCCCGTCTCGCCGCCGTCTAATCACTGTTCCGTTGGCGCTTCTCCCGACGGTCACAGATCCCCGCCGGCCCTAGCTGAGATCGCGAACTCCCAGGCACGATCGAATGTCCTCGACCGCGGACCGAGTCGGCTGGCGGGGCGGGCACACTGTGTGCCGGTGTCCCCGGCCCAGACCTCAATCACAGTTCGCGGCGTCGTTAGCGTCGCCGTCGCCCCCTCCGCGCACGGATGTCCGCCGGTCGTCCCCTCAGCGGCGGCGCGTTTTTCAGTCGGCGGCCGCCTCAATCACCGGCGGCCTCCCGTCATCGCCACGGCGGCGGCGGCTGTGATCGGCTCCGCCCGCTCGGGCCGGACGCGCTGTCCAGACGGCGGACGCCGCCGGTTCCGAGCGCTAACGAGCCAACCCGGCGTCGGGTTCATTTCCGAGGCGCGGGCCGTCGGCGCCGACGAGGGCAGACAGGGAGTGGAGGTGGACGTCCCGACCCGGGGCGGAGCTGACTCCGTCCGAGGCAGATTCGGTCAGCCCGAGGGCGCCACGCTTCCGTCGCAAAGGTCAGCCGCGTCGCTGGCCACCCAGGCGGTCAGGTCAATCCGCCCCCTGCTGGCCACGAACATACGCGGTACCGCTGCCGTCGGACAGAGCGGCTCACATACAGCCGCCAGCCACAAAAACCATCTCCTGCCGAGGCCCGGCACCGGGCGGGGTGCAGCTAAAAGTGGCCAGCACGAGCAGCCGCGCCCACCGCCTCGCCGGCCGCGCGGAGTCGCTCGGCGTCTGGCGCGCGGCGAGTCCGACGGTTCGGGTTCGGGGCTCGGCGGCGGAGCACAGCGGCGCCCTCCGAGCGCTGCTCGGCTCCCCCACTTCACGTGTTTCGACGACATTTAGCACAGGGTTCATGGCACCAAGCCTGGACTCCGTCCCGGCGCCGCGCTGGCCGCGGTACCACCCCGGCCCCGGTGGCCGCGGTACCACCCCGGCCCCGGTGGCCGCGGTACCAGCTCGGCCCCGGTGGCCGCGGTACCAGCTCGGCCGTTTTTGTGTCGGCATCTCGGGCTCGCGCCGCGGTCCGTCGATGAAATATGGTCACATTAGGTCGGCGGCGAGCGGCGGACGGCCCATTAGGTCGGCGGAGCGGGCCGCCGGCCACGGAACTGGGACCGAGCGCCCAGCGCAGCCACCGCCCAGCGCCGGCACGGGATCTGCGGCAGGCAGCCGCCAACGAACGCCTCGCCGGCCGTGCAGGCACTGCCAGATGCTGCCAGCGTCACCATTCAAAAGTAAAGATAGCCCACATCAGTGGTATGTCCTAAACAACAATCATTAAATGGGCTGTTTGAGTTTAAATAAAATTAACGTAGCAAGGTCATTCATCGCCGCCCCAGCAGATTAGCGGCTGGTTGTCGACAGCGGGCGCCGGACAGCTACAGATATCGCTCGTTCGACCGTATTCCGTGGACTGCAGCTACTTCCAGCGCCGGTGCACCGATAGCGGCCCGGCTGGTCGCTGACACTGACCAGCTACTTCCAGCGCCGGTACACCAATAGCGGCCCGGCTGGTCGCTGACACCCAGCGGCCGTAGGTCCGCCGCCGCGGAGAGCCGCCGCGGACGGGCTAATTACACACACATTGAGAGGGGCAGCGGCCACTCGGTGCAGAACCGGTTCTCAATGACGGCGCGGCCGGTCACGGTCTGACCGCGTCCGGCCGGCCCGGCCGTCTGCCGTCCACC